GAACAATCCTGCCCTATGAACGGACACATGAAGTGAAGATAAGGAGAATGAAGGGAGTTGTTAGACTCCAAGAAAACTAGCTCACCTTTGAAGATGCTCACGAAAAGGAAACAGGCACTATGTATGGAAGTTAGGGGTGAGTGGCACGCACTGTCCTGAGTGAAAAATTGTGAGCAACGGGTAGGAAGCGCTGGGTGCACCAAGGGAAAGACACTTGTTCTATGTGTGTCCCACTAGGGACTTGTAATTGCATGATTGGGATTTCGAGCGTCCTGCCATTTGGAAGGAAAGGAGGGGTCTGCACCGGCCACTGCGGGTTGCCAAACATCGTTCTCTTTGCAGACTGTCGTTTGTTCGTATGCGGGGGTCAGGCCACCGAGTTGTCTAACAGGAGTTTGTCACGTCAAGTGCTTATTAGCATTCTCGTCCGCGCGGTGACCGGCCCCGGCTTGATTGATCTGTCGAGCGGGGTGTGAAAATTCTCAGGCAGGGCCTAACCTGTGGACCGGCGGAGGGAGCACCACTGCATGGGGGCAAAGACGGAGTCTGGGAGGCGATCAGTAGCTTCTCGTAGCCTGGTTTGGGAAAGGCTGTTCCTTGTCGGACCAATGGAAGTGAATGCCTGGACGGCTGGCTCCAATGGCCCTACCGAGATGTGCGGGGTGATTCCCGAGATTAACGGTGGGTACACCAGCGGCAAGTCGGGATGGGGTATTATGGGCAAGAAGGTGAGGGCGACCCCTCACTGGAGTCTGGGTACCGCGCTCGCGACGGTTGAGTTGTGCTTGAGGTCTGGGATAAAACCCTGCCAATAGTAACAGTGGAGAGACCACTTTGGGGAAAAGGCCGGTGAGGAGATGACCGGCCTGTGTGCGATGACTGCTTGGTTTTTCTTTTTGTACCTCTCCCTGTGTAGTTGTCTGATGAGTGTTGGAAGGGGAACTAAGTTTTTAGTCTATTTTCAACCCCTGCCTAAGTCTGCACGAGTGAGAGAACATGAGGAAGAGGCTGGATAGGAGTTGGAAGAAAGTGGAACTAAGAAAAAGGAATGCGGGCTACTGGTGATCCATTGGGGGTATGGTAGGGGAATGGCACCTGGGAAATGGATAAGAGAAGTTAGGGAGACCCAGATGAGGGGTCTGAAAACAACTTTCATCTGGAAAAGGAAAAGCAAACCATCTGACCATGAGGGGCCGTGTGGTGCGCTCATGTGAAAAACAGGACAAGCGTCGGAAAACAAGATGGCGCGATGGTTGTCGCCTCCTGTCTACTCTAGCGGTTCGGAAATGCCTATAGAGGTAAGGGATGGGGTATCTGTTGTTCTCCCGGAAGAAGTGACGTGGACCGACCTAGAACCGGCCTATGAAACCGTGATGCTAGACGAGAAGGACGCGTTCCTCTGGATAGAGACAATCTGGACTAAGGTCAGCCTGACGAGACTTTCACCTAGCGTGATGGACCTAGAATTTCGGGGAACGGTGGAAGCTCGAGGATGGGTATACCTATCACAGGAATTGGAAAATGCAATGGTAGTGGGACTAGTATTGGGCACGACACCGGATCAGCTGTTTAGGCAAGCGGAACGGGAAGTGGTATGGGCAGCATGTCAGCAGGCAGAAATGGAGATGGAAAGGATGGAGATGCGAGTGGAACTCGGGGAACGGAAAAATATGAGACGTCCCCTTAGGACAATGAGGTGCGTGCTACCCCCGTTTCTGGTGGATGCAGTCTTTGGGACCAGGGATAGACTGGAACGTATATGCCAATTGATGACACACTTGAGGCTGTACCAATGTGCTAGACAAGACTTCTTTAGACTGTCGGTGGAAGCAGGGCCGTTTGAAGGAAACTGGGCGGAAGAATTAGCTGAGGTGTTAAACCTCCTCAGTTCGGACGAAGTCTTTGTTCCTAGCCCGGTGTATTGGCATTTACCGAAACGTGGCGGCGGGGGAAACCTTCTTGGAAGGGGTGAAAGAGATGTCCTTAGACGAGGAGGAGGATTTCAGTGATGAGGAGGACGAGGACGAGATAGAGGACTGGGACTTCTGAAGGGGGGGGGGGCTCACCTGGGGAAAACGGGTTGTCAACTATGTGCAGGTAGGGAGCGATGGCCCGGGAACTCGAATTATGGGACTGCACATGGGAACCAAGACGAGTCGGAAGGGGAGTAGAGATGTCAATACCGCCGAGCAATGAATGGAAGGGGACCACGTGTGATTGGCGGGGGTATGAGATTGTGTCGGAGCTATCGTACCTATGGATAGAACGTGTCTGGAACCCGTTGAGGGAAGAGGAAGGATGGGAAGAGATTGAGGAAGGAAGGGTGGAGTGAGCCGGGACGATCGTTCTCTCTGAACAAGGTTGGCACCTGTTCTGCACAACGCTCGCGGCAGGACAGAACCCGATGTGGCTTTTAGGGGACGCTGAGGCAAGGGGTCGGCAGGCGAGGGAAAGGTTTGCTAACAAAGGATGGGATACGGTCAGTAGTAGAGTCGTGATGGGAGGATGGAAGGAATTTAAACCGCCTGGCGCCCGAATCAAGACCTGGGTGCCCGAGTTCGTGGCGGACTGGTTTGGGGGTTTCGATCACGTAACAAAGGTAGCCGACACGATGGAACGAATACACGTGAACTGCTCATGGCTGGCAGAAGAATTTTGTAGGACGTCCTTGAAATTCGGGCCCTTCCACGGTGATAGAGCCCGGAAGGTTCTTATCATTTTGGATATTGAAAGGAATGATCGACAGGAGGTGGCCCCGGAAACTAAGGAGGCCATAATCCGCCGTGCGGTAGCAGCAACACCTTGCTATGTGGATGATTTGTTCAAACTGTTCAAGGTACTGTGGTTCGACTAAGTGCGGGAAAGCTGTGGGGCCAGGCAAATATGGGAAAAATTGCTAAGATAAGGGAATGGGATGTCTGGCCATTGTAGGGTTCAGTGCGGATCACAAGCCAGGAGAACAAAGGCGAGTGTGCGATGGTGCGAAGAAGGACGTTCCTTGAGGAACGCCCCTTAGGCATTGAACCGCCTAGGGAAGTACCGGGTGGGTTAGAGGTTAGCCTGCCGACGGCAAGTGAAGGCTGGCACCAGGTGGCAGATTGGGTCGGGGTCGAGCTTGCGGAAAATATGGTTTACTTGGTGACAAAAGTTGAGTGGCGTGCGGATGAGAATGGGGAATGGAACCCGGACCCGCGGGGGCATGTGCGTGCAGAAGGACGGTTGTATGTGTCAGAGGATGGGTGGAGGGAGTTCGGAGTTCGGCTGGCATCAGGAGAAGACCCGTTGAGCATGTTTGAAGGGGCATGGCAGTTAGTATGGCGAGCGGGATTTGAGTTCGCAGATCCGGGGGTTCACGATGTAACATCAGACCTTAGGGTAGCCATGGTCGGGAGTTTTGAATTGCCTAGTGAAAATGTACGAATGAGGCTGCCGCCCTTCCTGCTGGAAAGGCTGGGCGGTCTGGGACTTGTTAGACGAGCGGTAGCCGACCTCGCAAGCCTGACATATGAAGATGCAATGGTACATCGAGAATACTATCGGGCCTTCCTAGAAATGGGCCCTTTCAGTGGAGAGCAGAAGTATGAGGTGTTGCGCATCCTGCGTGCTGTGTTTAGCACTAGGCCGAGGGCTCCGGTCGTGGGAAGTGAGGTCCTGTGGGGTGTCATCTGACGGGAAACAAGTCAAGGGATGGTGTACGTAGATGATCTGTACCGATTGTATGAGCCGATGGACGTAGGGACGGACCAATAAAAGAGGTCAAGGAAAGAAAAGGAAGGTTCAAGCTAGAAACCGGGGAGTGTTCGGGCGGGAGCTGAAGATTAAATGAAATAAGTAAAACCGCTTGCTGTTTAAACTGTGCAGGGGACTACTAAGTCAAAAATGGCGATGGGACGCGCCCGGATGCCGCGACCGTCCACACACCCGTGGCCACCCACGGAAAGTGGAGGCGGATGGGAGGTATCGCTCCCAGCAAGCTACATGATCCAAGGATTGGACATCGAATGGGGGGCCGTGACCCTGGGAAGAGGACAGGCGTTCATGATGGTGGAATGTTTGTGGGATGGTATGAGGATTAACAGGGGACCGGGAGACGATCTGTACACCGACCTTAGGGTAACGGGGATCGTGTACCTGCCGGAACTTGGATGGTACATGCTAGGAACGGAATTGGCACTAGGTCACGGGTTGCTACCAATCTTCCAAAGGGCTACTAGGGTGTTGAACAGGGTGGGCCAGGAAGTGCGGGGGAGAAGAAACGTGGGATTAAGAACTCGGGTGGAGGTCGAAGGGTGGCGAGAGTTTAAGGCCCCAATGACCGGGTTGAGGTGTCGAGCATGGGACCTGGTGGATTCGACCCTGGTCTGGATCCACCTCTTCCGGCCACAAACAACGAGCATGTTCTACGATGTGTCGGTCAGACATGGGCCATTCTAAAGGAATCAGGTCTGGGAACTACTCGAATTACTCGAGATCTTGATATTCGGATTGCCCCACCTGTCGTTTGAAGAATATGAGCCAATAATTATCAGGGAAATAGAGATGGGCGAAAATTACCTTGCGGGTTGGCCGACCTGTTCGAGGAACCGGATGAGCAGGGCAGGCCTGAGGGACCAGCATGAGAAATCGCGTCAGGAAGAGGTAGGGAAATAAAGGATGGGTACTAAGATAAGTAGGCAGCCGTCAGCAAAAGAGGGGCAGTGGTTGGAGTTCCGGCCGACCCAATGATGCGGCAGGGAGGAACTAGGAAGCCCACCCGCTCCAAAAGTTATGGGGCACCTGGATGCCGATAAGCCGAAAGGGCCATCCCCGATAGGAAAGCCACTGGGCTCAAGCGCCGCCCTAAGAATCAAAGCGCGTCAGTAATGAAATGCCAAGCGGCGGCGGCAAGACCCCGGTAGAAGAAAACCTGAAGGACGCCCTGGGAGAGAAAAGTTAGAAGAAGTTGTACTGATGAATGTAAGACGCAAAGATATGGGAATAGGTGGGCTTTAGGGCCGGGACTAGGGCAGTTATGAACAACCGGCCATTTTTTTCGCAATTTTTTTTTTTTCCATGTGCAAGCTAGGTAAAGAAATGGCGGCTGAGGAAGGGATCGATGACCAGCAGAGCAGAGGGAATCAGGGCACGAATGGGGATGGGGAACGAAATGAGGGATCAGCCAGGGATCAAGAGTCAGCCAAATTGGAAGGAACTCGAGGAGACGGAAAGGACGCCTCAGTTGGAGAAAGCTCGTGGAAAGCTGGGGGTAGCAAAAGGGGACCTCAGGAAAACAGGGAAGGGGGAAACGATATGAGAACAAGCCCTCGGAACTCAGCAGGAGCCACCCCTAAAAAGACAAAAGTCTCAGATGCCAGTCGTAAATTAGCAGAAATAGAAAAGCAGACTGCAGAATTTAAGGCAAGGCTTATCGAGCAGATGATGGCCGAGGATGAGGAGGACCCCCAGGGCGCAGGGTCACGTGAGGGACGCAGGACCGGTCTGGATGAGGCCAGGTATGAGGGGAAGGATAATAGCCACAAAGGAACGCCTAGCAAGAAGGGGAAGGACAAGAACGACCCCCCGGCGGAGGAGACGGAAAACAGCGGCACTAGCCGATTGCCTGCCGCACCGAAAGTAACAGGGGAGTGCGACGGACTCTGGAGCCTTAGGGAAAGGGTGTTAGGATGGTTTGATACAGAAGGAACACCGAAAACCAGGGAAAAGCAGAGGGAAAGCAAGGAAGGGGAAGCGACCAGTGCGGCTGGAGAAGCGGGTAGCTCCGAAGGTGGTCTCAAGAGGATAGTCACCACCCTCACCCGGGCACTAAACAAGAACCAGGGGTATCTCGCAGATGCAAAAAAGAAACTCGCGTTCGATGGGGCCAACATTACGGAGTTTCTAATAGACTATGAGAACCTAGCAGCCTTACTGAAATGGACGGAAGAGGAAAAGATGGAGCACCTAGGGCAGCACGTGTCGCTAAGCTTGGGAACGAACATTATGGCCATCGTCGCGTCCGGTGGATCCTGGAAAGAAACCAGGAACGAGATGATGAGGAAATACCTGAAGGCAGAGAAAATGGCAACAAAGGCTGAATTAGCAGCAGTCCAGAGGGAAAACTATGCGACTTACAACGATTTCCTAAGGGCGTTTACGTTAGTGGCTCTGCGAATTCCCGGGGTAATGGACCGCATAATGAGTAAATACTTCCTTAGGCAGTTCTCCGAGTTTGACAAGTATAAGATTTTGTCGGCCTACCAGCAGACCAGTAAGTTTGAATACACAAGGGATGTGGATTTCAGTACGGTAACAGATCTTGCAGAAAAGACAGTGGTAACTGAGACCTTGGCCCTGCTTAAGGAAGGGGAGGTCATAGACCTGATCGGGAAGACGGGAGACAAGGTCAAGAAGGGGATAGAGAGTTTGCACGAGCGGGTGCAATGGGTTGACAATAAGATAGAATGGAAAACGTGCTATTAGTGATGCAGGCGCAAGTATCACGACCCACCCTCCCGCCCTAAGAACCGTGGTTCCGGCAGCTGTAGCAAACCGGGGATTTGGCGGAAGGGACCCCGCCAACGAACAATTCAAGTATTGCACCATGATCGGGCATTTCGTATGGGCCTGTCCGAGACTCAATCACGATATTGAGCGGCAGAGGTGCAGCAGGTCCCTCAAAGCCGAGATCCTCGGACCGGGGGGGGAGCGTGTAAATTGGAACTCGCCAGGAGGGATGCGGCGAGTCGTCATCCTCCTGAATAACCTAGAGATAGCCGCCGTAGAAGCAGAGCTGATAGCCAAGATTGTCTGGGACCAGCCTACGGGATGGGGACCACAGGCCAATTTTATCTTAGAAGGCAATGGCCAGGATAGGGTGAATATCACCACTCGCCGGGCCGGTGCAAAAAAGAAGCTTATTCAAGATACGGTAATGGAAGAACTCGCAGGGACTAGCACGGGCCAGCAAGAGACCGAAGTCGGGGAACAAGAGAAGGTCTATTGGAAGCCAAGGGAGGACGAACCAGTAGACAAGCCTACGGCGGCAAAAAAGAAGTTCAGGTATCAAATTTCGATCCTGACTTCACTAGAAATCGATGGCACCTTGAGTAAGTTACTGGGTACCATGGTATCGGTGTCTTTTTAGACCATGCTGCAAGCCCGCCCGAGGCTGCTTAAAGGACTCAGGCAGTTGCTAACGCGTAGAGGTAGAGGAGGCCCCGGAATTGCAAGACCAGGACACGAAAGAGGCCGAGGCGCCGCAAGGGGTCTCCAACCTCCAAAGCATTCCAGGGGGTCTGGGAGATTTGGAGAAAGCCTTTGCGGACATCCGCCTAAGCCTATCGGATCGTGAAGGTGGCGAAGTCATGAGGGCGCCACCCGAGACAAAGCTTAGCTTTCATGCATTAGCATTTGGGAAACTTAAAGTTCAAATCGGAACTCACCACAGTGACGCGTTAGTGGACGGTGGAGCAAAAATCACCCTCATACGACGAGATTTCGCAACGGTCACGGGGTGCACGGTAAACAAGGAAGTAGCAGGGAGTATCCGGGGAGCCGGTGGCGAAATTCCTTTCGCAGGGTATGTCACCAAATGTCCAGTCAGGGCGAGAATCCGGGAATCCATCTGGTCCTTTCAGCGGATGACCGTGATGTAAGAAATGGATCACGACGTAATCCTCGAGAGACCGTGGTGCGCCAACGTGGAAATGATAGGAATGCATCTGCACGACGACACTTACATGGTAAACATAGAGGACCCAGTGACCGGCCGCAGGGAACTCTCCGACTTCTTGGGACCGGAGGGGACCCTCCGAAGGGCAAATTGGCAACCTGGTCTCCAACATTCGAAGAAAGTGCGCGGAAGGGGGCATTCGCACGAATGGAAGACATGAGGGAAAGGGTAGAAATTATGATCGAGGAGGCTTTTAGTAAAAAGGAATGGATCCAGATGGGTCTGCCCGTAAAGAAGAGGAGGTCAGAGGACGAGCCCCTGGGGGTTATGGTGGCGGAAAAGGAGCTGGAAGTTGAACTTGGGGCCAGCCTGCCCAAGCCAAAGGAAGGTCGTAACGAGACCCCGAGCTAGCGCTCGAAATCCCAGACCTGTTGCAACTTGTTAAGGCAATCAGGTACCACAAAGTGGGGGTGGACCCGGCAACGCTTGCCAAGTTTGAGGATGAGGTTCGAAAAGGTTACTGCCAGAATGGGAAGATAGTTAGCATTCAGCCCCATATCATGGAAATAGCAAGGCCAATCCCGACCGTTCATTTTTTAGGAGAACGATCCCAGAAGGCAGTGTGCGAAAATACAAACCCGTAGGGAAAAAGGCCAAGCCGGTCTCGATCCTAGTAGAAACATCAAGGGAAGAGGCCTTGGAAAAGGAAGAGGAGATCCTACGGGTTATAAGGGAGAGACGCGCAACGGAAGGTCATCGCATACCAGATGATGTAGCAAACACCATGAAAATAGGAGTAAAAGGATTTCTAACACCGGAAGAAGCTCAGTTGATAAGAAAGTTGTGCCACGAGTTCCGTTTAGCTTTCACTTTCAATGATCATCAGAAAGGGCGATTGGACGCAAAGCTAGTTCCCCCTGTCAGGATCCACACCGTACAGCACGAGTGTTGGAATGATAAAGGGCCCGCATATGAGTTTGGGATAGCAGTGGAGGTCACCGACCTGCTTAGAGCCAAGATAGATTCCTTCGTTGCTGAACCCACCGCATCCCCCTACGCGAACAAGTGGTTCGTGTTCAGGAAGCCCAATAAGACGCTCTGGTGGATCCAGGACCTGCAGAAGCTAAATGCGGTAACAATTAGGGACGCAGGTTCGCTTCCACAGGCCGACTTATTGGCAAAATCGCATGCGGGGCGGAGCATTTACTCCCTGGTAGACTTGTACTTAGGATATGATCAGTTGCCGCTCGGCGCGGGGATAGACCGTATACCACAGTGCATACCCTCGTAGGATAGCTGCAGATGCAAGTGACCCCTATGGGCTTCACAAATGCGGTAGCAGAGGCACAGAGGACGATGCTCGCCGTTGCAGGAGATATGTTTCCGAAAAAGTGTGAACCTTATATAGATGATAATCCTGTAAAAGGTGCAAGATACAAGGACGAGGCGGAGGTCCAACTGGGCGTACGGAAGTTTGTTTGGGATCACTTGCAGGATATTAAGGACTTGCTCCAACGATTCCTAGTTTACAATATTACTGCAAGCGGACCCAAGAGCATCCTGGCTGTCCCGGAGGTAACTATACTGGGATTTCACTGTGGGGCCTATGGGAGGAGACCCGACCCAGCAAACACAGATAAGATCTCTCAGCGGCCGACACCCCTGCGTACCTCGACGGAAGTACGAGCCTTCCTAGGGATGGTTGGGTTCTGGAGGATCTTCATCAAAGGTTTTGCAAAGATAGCAGAACCTATCTGCGCGATGATTAGGGAAGGTGGCACTATGGATTGGACCGAGGATAGGGAAGAGGCAGCCCAGACCGTGAAAGACATCCTGTCATCCGATCAGGTCACTCTAGCGGCACCCTGTTTCAATGACGAGGTAAAACGGCCCTTCATCTTAGAAACAAATGGGGGACCGCTGGCAGTTGGTGGAGTATTGATACAGAAAGACGAGGAGGGCAAGGAAAGGCCAATCAGATTTGAAAGTAGGACCCTGAATTCGGCAGAACAACGGTACTCACAATTCAAGAAGGAGGTCTTAGCAATTCTACATTGTCTTAAGACCTTCTAGGCATACCTGTTCGGAAGGCGATTTATCCTAAGGATCGATCCCACCAACGTTGTCGGGGCCCTAAAGAACTACAAGCCTATAGATCCGACCGTTGGCAGATGGATAGGCTTCATATGGCAATTCGACTATAAGGTCGAGCGAATTGCAGGACTTCGAAATAGGGCAGATGGGCTGAGCAGGGTATGTATCACGCCAGAAGGAGTAGAGGACGCAGAACCAATTGACGCCTTCCTGGAATACGAAGGAGGGACCCTTGTTGTGGATAATGAGATGGCAGACCCAGCAATTACAACAGGTCAGTTACTGATCCAGACCTTGGAAAAGAGCGCACCTGCAGTAGTTGCAGAACTTAGGGAAGGACCAGTCACCACAATCAGGCGTAAAGAGGAAAAGGACTCGTAGGGAGTAGAAATAGGGGTCAGAGAGGAGCTGATGGCAATGTGCATGGAAGGGGGACGGGATGCCGTGATGACGTTGGTCGAAATCTGGACACAGGAGTGCCAGTACCTAGTCAACCAGACCCGGGAGGAGCAGGGTATGGATCAGAAGGAACAAGAATTCTTCCTCGTACAGATGTATGAGGGCGTCTTCAAAGAAATCGGTCTGTTGCTTGTAGGGAACAAACAACCCACGGAAGTCAGTCCCAAGGCAAGGGAGAAAGTCGAAAAGTATGTCCTAAGAAATGGCCACCTGTTCAAGAAAGAGGAAATGATGATGCCTAGACGCGTCGTTTGTGGGAGGTCTAGGCAGTTGTACGTAATTCAGGTAATGCATGACGGGCTAGTTGGAGGTCACCGGTCGTCTAAGGGGACACTTGCAAAGACGGTGCCCCTGTACTTCTGGCCAGGAATGGCAGGCATGGTCGCGACGTACTGTCAGACTTGTCTGATATGTCAAGAGAGGAGCTCCGTACGAGTCTACGAGCCCCTTAGACCCACTAGGGTACTGGGACCCGGACACCTTGTTCACCTCGATCTTGCGGTTATGCCCATATCAACGGATGGGTTTAGATACATCTTGGATGCAAGGGATAATCTTAGTGGCTATTTAGAAGCCGTAGCCCTCAAGAAGAAGACGGGGAAAGCAGTGGCCGACTGGGTGGAAGATTTCTACCTAAGGCACCTCTTCGTGCGCAGGTTTATAGCAGACAATGGGACATAATTTGTTAACCAGGAGGTATTGAACAGGCTTAAGACATTGTGCGTCCTCGAGAAGAAGACGGGGAAAGCAGTGGCCGTCTGGGTGGAAGATTTCNAATTTGTTAACCAGGAGGTATTGAACAGGCTTAAGACATTGTGCGTCCTCGAGAAGAAGACGGGGAAAGCAGTGGCCGTCTGGGTGGAAGATTTCTACCTAAGGCACCCCTTCGTGCGCAGGTTTATAGCAGACAATAGGACAGAATTTGTTAACCAGGAGGTATTGAACAGGCTTAAGACATTGTGCGTACCAATCAAGATCACTGAGCCCTACCACCCTGAGGCAAATGCACCAGTAGAAAGGGGGCACCGGAACTTGAAAAACACAATCGCTAAGCTTGCAGCAGACAACTTGGGAAACTGGCCACAGTACCTTAAGCAGGCAGTCTTCTCTGAGAACATGACACCAAAGAGAACGACGGGATGCATTCCAGCGGAGCTATGGTATGGAAGGGAGATTGACTTCCCAGTGGAGGCCCTCGTCCCTACCTGGAACAGTTAATCACCGACCATGGAGGAGTTAATCACTGCACGTTGCCAGCAGGTTGCCAGGAATGAGGAGGCATTGGAGGAAGCAGTTAACCGTGTAACGGATAGCCGAATGAAGGATAAAGCAAGGTGGGACCAGGTCAAGAAGATTCGGAAAGAGCCACTCCAGGTTGGAGAAAAAGTGCTAGTTAGAAACTCGGCCCTCGAAAGCACATGGTCTGGGCAGCTGGGAAAAACATTCAAAGGGCCTTACAGGATCGCTAAGCGGGTGGGACTGAACACATTTGAACTTGAGGATCTCGATGGTACTAGCATAAGAGGGCCATTTTCGGGATAGAGACTGGTAAGATTTTTGAGCAGGGATCCGGTGGAACAATGGCTACAAGAGGCTCAGGATAGGGAAACAGGGGAAGTCACAACTTGAAAGGTAGATAACTGGCTATGATCCTGGACCGCCTCCCTATGGGAGTGATCATGACCACAAGGGTTGTTCGTTTGTGTGATTTGATTTTCTGTGGAACATGGGGAGACTGCCTGGGCTGAGTATGCATGGGGTTGGGAGTTGGGACAGTGTACTATAGTTTTTTTGGGCAACTCTGGGGACTGTCTACACAAGGTATCTATGGGCTGGAACACTGTAGCATAGTTTTTTGCGGGGGATGTTGTCTATCGCCTACGTGAGGTACCTATGTGGGGGGGGGACAGTGTACTTAGGGGTATAAGGGAGGATGGGATCACCAACTGCGCGGGGGCAAGCAAGGGTTCTGAGGAGGCCGGCAAATTTGCAAATGGGGATGGGAAGGAATGTGAGTGTATGGGGGGGGGGGTTGTGGTGATTGTTATGCATAAACAGGACCAGGCAGGGAGTTGAGCAAACGACAAAAATGAAATTTGGGAATGAAAATGACAGCAATGCAATTAACAGGCCGGAAGAGGGACAGTCGTCAAGACAAGCTGGAGAGTCAAGCTCCAGGAAAAGGAAGTTGTATGTGGGGTTCGATCACAACCTAGTTGTGAACAGGGGGGGCAGAAAGCAAGGACCCAGGGGGCCATCGCCGCTAAGGGAAGGAGAGCCAATAGAATTGCCATCAGACAGTATCCCTAGTAGCAAGGAAGAGGGAAACCCGGAAAAAAGGCAAAGGCTGGAGGAGGGGAACCCAGAAGAGGGACAACGGTCGGGAGAGGACAAGCCCGTGGAGTTTATCGACCTCACCAGCGACGAGTAGGAAGATGAGGTAACAACGCCGACAAGGGAAGAACAGGGAAGAGGGGAGCAGACATGTGAGAAAAAGGACATATGGATAGAAGAGTTCGGAACTGAGTTCAACGATTGGTTTGATCAATGGGGCACTATCTTGCGATATCAGTGGATTATGAAGGCAAGGGAAAAGTTGGGCAGGGGACTATCCCCAACAACCTTCTTCACAAAACAGACACTCCTCCAGTTCCAAGAAATAAAGAGGCAAATGGAGTAGGAAATGGAGGATCGCGCAAGGAGGGAGGCTCAACGCAGGCCACCTGGACGATAGAGGCTCAACAGCCGTAATGAGGAATAGCTAGGAGTCGGGAGGGTTTGGTCCTTGGGCAGTCGGAGCTGTCATTTTGGACTTCGCACTTGAACTCCTTTTGTGAATGAATTTTCTAAGCTCGAAGTGACTAAGGACTGGGTAGTCAGCGCTACTTCGTACGAACGGTTGCTTCTTCAGGGAAAGGCATGAGGGTTTTGCACTTAGAGTAAAAATCTGGATGGTTGGGTAGATTAAGGGAAAGAAAAAGGGGAAAAAGCGGGGATCTAGACGAAGACGAGTCTGTAATGTTGTCTTTGCATTCGAACTCTGTCTCCTTATTTTTCCTTGTAAGGACTGCAATGAAACTACCTTTCGGATTGAGGGAGCTAGTAGAGGGTGGGTGATCAGGGCTACTTTGTATAAGTACTCGCTCCATTTGGGAAATATGAGCCTTTTGGGATTGGGGGTTGGTTGACTTTATGGGCAACGACATGTGAACTCTTGAACGTTGGAAGAAACATTCATGACGAAAGTCTTTCCTTTGAGTTATGTATCCATGATTGAATGAGTCGCTCCATGAGTCCTTGTGAGAGGTTAGGGGACCTATGGGTAGAGAGGCACCCTCTCCCCTAGGAGCCTAATCCAACCTACCCCAGACAATCCCAGAGCATTGAGAAGCATACGAGAAGTCAGAAAAGTGGTAGGGAAACATTGAAATGATGCAACGCCCCTTGCAATGGTTGAACGGCCGGGCGGGCTAAGTGCTGCTTGGGGTCGCAAGCCTCAACTCGAGCATTAGACGCAAAGTCGGATGTATGCATGGATGTAAGAATGGAAAATGGCATGAGGAAAAAGGAAGAAGCATGCGTAAGAACCCAAGACGATGACCACCTCCTAACCCCCGAGACGAGATAGGATCCGTGTCCTCAATGCCCACCCCCTCGGGCGCTAACATTGCAATGGACAAGGATGGCCCTAACCATGCTGTCCAATTCAAATGGACAAGGATGGCCCTAACCAAGCTGTCCAATTGAAATGGATAAGGATGGTCCTAACTAGGCTGTCCGATTGCAATGGATAAGAATGGCCCTAACCAGGGTGTTCGACTTGGAATTGGAAAGAACGACCCTAACCAGGTTGTTCGGAATGACCCCTGAAAAGGGTCATTCTTTCGAATTGGCACTGGGTCCCCTCGCATGACTGCTTGAGATGCATGATATTGGAAGAGCCGAGCTTTGGAAAAGATATTGATGAGATATTGAGCTGAGTTTGAAAGAGACATTGAGCTGAGCTTTGGATAAGATTGGAAAGAGCTGAGAGTGGAAAAGATATTGGACTTAACCTTGGAAAAGATATTGGACTCAGCCTTGGAAAAGATATTGCATTGAGCATTGGACTGAGATTGAGCATGGGAATGAGACTGGGCATCGAAATTGGATCGAGTATTGAAAATTGCACTGCATAAACAGGGGACCCTAGGCAACTTGAAATGGCCTCAGCAAGAGGGGGATACCGGTGCATGCACCGCGAACCCAAAGACCTCTATCCCTTTGAGGGAAAAAGTCTCAGCGCGACCTGTTCCTCTTCGAGAGGATGAGGGTTAAAGGGCTAAGGCACCTACCACTCCGATAGGTGCGGGACGTCCGAAACCAACTTCGACAATGAGCTCTAGGGGGAGTTCAAACTGCACCTCCTGTTGAATGCCTAAACATCAAAGGGCGAGAGAGCCAAATAGGCAAGGAAGTCATTCTCATCTAGTCTATTTTGTCCTCTCCAACCACACGCCATGTCATAGAGGGGTGCCATGGCCGTTTGGATCGGACCTCGGCTGCCTGCACTAAGTTGGGCGACATTGTCCAAGGAGAGGGACTTGGCGAGGTACCGGGTGGAGTCCGCCACCACCATGGGGCATTGACACTGCCCTAACGAAACATTACGATCGTTTCGGGACTAATTGCGAGGTCTTCGTAACTGCACTCGCGGACCGATCGAGAGCCCCAACTCTCTTGAAAGGAAGAGGCCGGAATCCAGAAAACCACCACTCGGGAGGAACGATTTGCGAGGAACACTCTTACAACTAGACGAGGCCCTGGAAGGCTTGGATTGGACCTATCTGACAGACGCGGGGAGGAACCTCAGTATTGGTGCTCGCTACGTGAAAAAATAAAGGTCGGACCGGGTAGAAGGATGAGGCGTCGTTCGTTGGGGAGGAACTGATCACTCCTCCTTTTGTGAAGCGGATGGGCTTGTGTCCTTGACTTGCGGTTGGCGGGCCAAAGGTATACGTACCTCCGAGTGAGAACCAGTCGCGCGATGGGGACATCGCGTTTTGAGTGGGGGGAAGGTGTGCCATCTATCAATGAATACGCATGAAAATAACACTTGTAATTGGTTTTGCATGGGCTTGGGAAAAAGGGGCCGGAACATAAAAAGATTGTAATTGGCCTTGTATGGGCCTGAGAAAAGGGGGCCTAGCAAGACACCAGAGCACAAAGGACTTGAGTAAGTGACAGGGCGGTACCTGCAGAACAAGGTATCGGGGACCACGCGGGACCAAGGGACGGCGTGGTGCCGGGAAGGCGAAGTACCAGGAACCGCGTGAGACCAAGGGAAAAGATGCAGTGCAGGTGGGCCGAAGTGACAGGGACCTCGTGGGCCTACACAAAATGGCGGCACGTAGTAAGGTGGGGGTGGGGCACTATGTACCTATTCCCATCTGGTTTGGGGACGAGAATATGATTAACCATGTCGAGCAAGTCATCATCAGGGACTGAAACCCAGGGTTGAATGCGCGGGGCCAAAAAAGTCGTAAGTTGAGGAGGGCCAGGGGATCGAAGTCCAGCAGGCAGAGTGGTCGCCTGCCACCCCAGGTAGTAGAACCACTGTTTTTTAGCTGTCCAGGTGTCGGGGTGGTGAACAATCCCGATTTGCTGAAGATTTTAAAGATGGCCAGCAAAGAAAAAAGTAGGAAGACTTTTGAGATCACGAATAAACCAGGTGGTAGATGGTTGAAGTCATGGCGTTTGGTTGTTCTCCTGTATGGTTTTTCCAAGGTAGAAAGCCAAGGAAAAAAGCTACTGTTGAAAGACGCAAAACCGTTTTTTGAAGAGGGGGGTGTAAATTTGGTCTATAGCCTGGTTAGAATGGTTACGAAGTCTGATCTGCTGAAACACGAGTTAATTGCTCTTTTGCGTGCCCCTTGGAAACGTCGTGATTTGTATAAATTGTCATTTGACGAGCTGATTGATCTTAACAATGCGGTGAAGACAGTGAATCAGCCAAACGGCCGGCAGACGATTCACGGTATACTAACCACGGTTTTTAAGAACAAGTTCAGTATTAACCCGCGTACTAGAATCACTGTGAAAATTCCTTTCTGCACTACGGTTGAAAAAAAGAAGGTGGAGTCTGAGGTGAAGAAGTGGATTTTGGAGTATGTCCAACCTACCAAACTCGGTGACTTGTATGCAAGGAGGTCCAGGGCGGTCTGGTTGAAAGCCAGATCCGTGGCTGACCTCCTGCATAATCAGAAATTCTTTGCACAACAGCTTTGTTTTGAATGCACTTGTGCCGATTTCGACCTGCCCAAGATGAACGGGCATGTGGCAGTCAGACTGAGTAAGGCAGAGGGGATACATCCGTTCCTCTTCAACTCAAAGAACGTGCCTTTTCCTGGCTCGATTGTATCTAGGGAAGGCGTGAACCGTGCTTGTAATGAGGCTCTCGATTGCCTGCGAGATATGAATGTTGTGACAAGAAACCATGCACTGTAACTTCCTGCAGATTTCCAAGCGCGGGGAACCAATGATGGAGGGTTGCATTCTAACTGAGTACGTGAAAGGGGTGAAACACGCCCTGAGTGGGCTCGTCCTCTCCCCCCTGGATCACAACGTTAGTGAAACATGGATTGAGTGCCCAGTCCTGTATGAGGTTGGGCTCAAATTCATGTTTTTGGAGAACAGTAATTATGAAGCAGTTCCTGGATCAAAAGAAGAGGTTTTGTCCAAAATGAGGACCAAGTACGTAGATGCTGGCCTCTGTAAGATTGGGAAGTGGGACGGGAATGGTGGGTTGCAGCACGTGTACATCCTCTCGAAAGAAAAGGATAAGCGCAAGAAGAGACCTATTGTTCCATCCTACCTGAGCCCATACAGGGTTGCGTCTGGGGTATTATCAACAGCACTGATGCCCTCATTGCACAGACCGATGAGCATCACTTAAACCTGCGGACTATGAGGGACTTAATCAGGAATCAGAAAAGGATAAGCGCAAGAAGAGACCTATTGTTCCATCCGCACAGACCGATGAGCAACACTTAAACCTGCGGACTATGAGGGACTTAATCAGGAATCCTTGGCATTAACGAGAAAGTGGACAGAGAGGGGAGGAGACTTGCGATCTTGGCCCGTACATACGATATAAAGGAAATGTTCACACAGCTTCCACACGAGGAAATTAGGAAGGCTGTCTCGTGGACTATTGGTTGTTTTGCCGCCAGATCCATAAAATGGATTCGTGTAAATTCTCGGAAGAAGGAAGCCCACTTCCGCAAAGCCCAGGGAGAAGCAGGTTGGAAGTCGGTCCGGCTAACCGACCTGGGTGTGCTCACGGATTTTCAGCTCTCGAACACAGTTTTCTTGGTTACTGACCAGGCGGTTTGACAGCAGAGAGGGATTTCCATGGGGGGACGGGCGAACCCCCCACTCGCCTGAGGAGTCTCGGCTCGGACCAATCGCTGGTTATGGGAAAACGGTACATTGACGACTTACTGATTGTATCGCTATATCGCAAGACTGAACCAAGTGCAAGGGAGAAAGTTGAAGGAAGGCTCGACCAAGTAACGCATTGCTACCCGGAAGGTCTGGTGTTGGAACGGACTGACCCGGATATAGGCGTTCTTGATTTTCTTCAAACAAGACTGATTATGTGTGATGAAAAGCGAATCGTGATGTCGCATAAATTCAAGAACTCGGAATCGATCTGGTCCTCTGGACCCCTGAGCTTCCAGACATACAAGAGTATCGTGTCGTATGGTCCAAGTACAACGAAGTTCGCCACGATTGCGAATATGTTTTTTCGAATCAGACAAAATTCTAATTGCGACGGAGTTACGTGCCTCAATGTCCTCACGCTGTGTGAGGAG